GGTGGAATGGTTAACGTGGCTGGCACAGCGAGGGGAAATGGAGCGATGGGATACACCAGGAAGGCCGGGCGTTTATGGAGCTGTAGATTTCACGGCGGGCTGCGTGCGCGGCTGTGCTCGGGGAACGCCAGGGCTCTCCGGATGCTGAACGTACATTCCTCGCAGGAGGGAGTTTTATGGCTCACGCCTTGTAGAGGTCCCATGCCACGGAGCTGGAGCCAGATCCCGCCCCCGGCAAGGCTGTGCAGGGCGTCAGCCAGTGACCGGACTGGCCCCTACTCTGTCAGGCCAGGCTGTTCCAAATCAGAGTGTGCAATGGGCTTCTTCCCCTTTGCACTGTTTTTTCATCACTTTCGTGAAAACACGATCGCTGACGTCTCAGTAGTTCATTGGCTGCTGCTTCTGAGACAGTGGGGGCTAGGGGTTAGAGCAGGGGACTGGGGATCAGGACGCCTGGGTTCTGTTCCCAGTTCTGGGAGGGGAGTGGGGGCTGGGGGGAGGGGGCACTGCTTACCCGTTCTGATGTCCACTGCCCAACTCCTGCCCCCCCCCACCCCGCTCCACCAGCCCCCACCCACCAAGGTCTCTCTCCACCTTGTCCCCGCAGCGGGCACTTTGGGGTGGTGAAGCGCTGCCGGAAGCGGAGCTCGGGGACTTTCTACGCCGCCAAGTTCGTGAAGATGCGCAAGTGCAAGGGGAGCCGGCTGGGGCTGGACCGCGAGCAGGTGGAGCGGGAGGTCAGCATCCTGCAGCAGCTGGAGCACCCCAACATCCTGCGCTTGCACGACCTCTTCGCCAGCAAGGCCGAGATGGTGCTGATCCTGGAGCTGTGAGTGGGAGAGGAGGGGCAGGGCACGTGGGCTCCCCCTCACCCCACTCTAATAGCGCTCTGTGTTTATAGCGCACCTTGCCCCCTCCCTGCTGGGGAATCATCCCGCATTGCACCCATGGGGAAACTGAGGCACAGAGAAACGGACAAGACTTTCACCAAGGTCATTCAGTGGCACAGCTGTCAAAGAACCCTGGATCCCGGTCTCTGCTCTAACCCCTATACATCACTCTCCCCCCCCCTTCCCAGATGGGGATAGAACCCAGGAGTCCTGGCTGCAAGTCCCTACTGCTCTAACCACTAGCTCCCACTCTTCACCTGACTGGAAACAGCTGCTCCCGTCCCCAAGCGTGTCATACCTGGCCTGTGAGCTCTGTGCCAGCCCCCCAGGGGTGAGTCGAGGTGTTTGTGATGAGTTTCAAAGCCCCAGATGGCACGAGTTGCTTAGGTCCTCCCCGCACGCAGCAGCTACGGCCCTCTGGCACGGTGGAGTCGTGGGGTCCTGGCCCTGAGCGCTCTGGGATGGGGCAGCTGAGGGTTTGAAATCCTGAGCTCTCCCCTTTGGATGGCGCCTCTCCGGTGTGAGGAGCATGGATTTGACTTAGCGTCCGCTTAGCTCTTTGAGCTCGGTTGGCTGAATTTTTTTTTCTTTTCTTTCATCCGGGCAAATCTCATTTAGATCCTGCGGTTAATGGGCCTGATTCTCCATTGGCCTGCACCTTGTGCCGGCAAAGTGGGTGCCACAGTAACCTTTCACACACACACACCCCCTTCTGACTGCCCAAGGTGACCAGGACCCTATGTGATCCATGCCTGTATGTGTGTCTGTACACTCAGATCCGTCTGCCTTGTGTGTATGACATGACAATCTGTCTGGATAGCGCCTCCTGTCTAGAAAGCTTCTACACGATGGCTGTACAGGGGTCGCTTTCCTGCCCTCACTGAAATGCAGCCACTTCTTAGGTGGAACGCTGCAGCTGATTAACAGCAGCATTGAGCAGGGAGCACTCGCCCTGCTTGGAAATGCAGCCACCTCTGAGGAGGAACGTGGCCGCTGTAATGGACAGGAACTGCAGAGTGGAATTGGGGCAGTGTGGTCGAGTGGGTCGCGCACAGGTCTCTTAAGTCAGAACTCCTGGGTTCTATTCTCCACTTTGCCCTGTCCTGCTCTGTGACCCCAGGACAAATCACTCCCGTCTTTGTGCCTCGGTTTCCCCAGGGGGGATGTGGTACTGACCCCACCTATGTCAGGGCTTGAAGATCCTGTGAGGCCGGGGTGCAATGGAGCTCTAGCATGAGCTTGCTGTTGTACCCGCCCCTCAGGGCAGCGTGGCTCCAGCCACTCCCAGGGCCCTGCCGTAAGTGGGAGCAGGATTGGGCCCTCTGGTGTCTCTAGGCCTCACCCGCTCTCCCTCTCCGCTCTCAGGATCCGCGGTGGGGAGCTCTTTGACTTCATTGCCGAGAAGGAGACGCTGACAGAGGCGGAGGCCATCGAGTTCCTGCAGCAGCTCCTGCAGGGCGTTGCCTACATGCACGGGCGGCATGTCGCCCACTTCGACCTCAAGGTGCCCAGCCCCCTCCCTGCCTGGCGCGAGCAGTGCCTCTGGCACCTTGGCCCCTTAACTGTTGATTCTCAGTCGCTCCCGCCCTGCATGTGGGAGGGGGTTGGAGACGGGCAGGAGGGGGCCAAATGCTCTTTGTAGCTTTGCAAGGCTCTCGGTGTAAATCAGAGCAGCCTCAGGGCTGCTCTAACTCACACTCTCCTCCCTGCGGAGCAGAGAATACCCATAACGCAGCTTGCTCCAGCCGCCCCTCCGATCCGACCTCCTTCTGGGGACTGGGCCGTGCAGGGCCCGTTACATCAGCTCCACCCCAGCCAGGGAAGCCCCATTCATGGGCGTGGGGAGGGGCTGTCAGGGGGCTGCTTCCACCCACTTCAAGGCCCCTTTACACTGCCAGAGCAGCTTCAGAGACCCAGGCCCATGGTGCCCAGCCTGTGGCTTTCCCCATGTGCAAGGGGGTCTGGGATGGACCCATGCGTGTGGGCTGGCCCCATTGCAGAGCCCGTTCTCTCTCCCCTACACTACACCGCCCCCCCCCCCCAACTCTCCTCAGAGGCCTGGTCTACACTACAACTTTAATTCGGATTTAGCTGCGTTAATCCGAATTAACCCTTCACCCGTCCACACTACAGAGCCAGTTAATTCGAATTAAAGGGCACTTAAAATCGATTTCTGTACTCCACCTCGACGAGCGGAGTAGCGCCAAAATCGATTTTGTTAATTCGAATTAGGGTTAGTGTGGCCGCACACCACCGAATTAATGTGGTTAAAAACCGAATTAATGTGCTTAGTGTGGCCGTGCACAATCGAATTAATTCGAATTTGGGAAACAGGTTGTATAATCTAAATTCAGATTAATCCTGTAGTGTAGACATACCCTCACTGAACTCCTCGCACGGCCTCTGAGGTTACACTGACACCTGCTGGCCAGCGGTAACACTGCAGGCTCTGGTCAGTTTCATACACCTGCAATCCCCCGCTGGAAAGCAGCTGTAGAAATTAGATCTCCCCTCTGCTCTGGGGCAGTGAGATGGGGCCATGGCAGTGGACTAAAATGCAGCCCAGACAGTGGGGCTGTTCTCCCTGGCTGCATGAATCTCCCACTTCCACGCTCGGATCTCAGCCTCGCCTGGCGGGAGTCTCGGAAGGAACTCGCCTGGGAAACCCACCGTCATCCCTGCTGGCTCCCCCTCCAATCAGGCGCCCGCCGCACGACTATTCCAACCTCCGCTGCTGCTGCAGCCCAGCAGTGGGCACGGGGGAGGCTGTGGGGCATGGGGCCTGCCGGGTGAGTCGACCCTGTAAGCCCCGATGCTGCCCCTTATGTCTGTTTGCGCCAGTGCAAAGTGGGTGTGAGATGCTGCCCATCCCGATCTGATCACGTTCCCGCACTTGCTTTGCACCGGTGTCAATGACCACGTGGGGTGACGGAGAACTGGGCTCATGGTGTCTCCCTCCCTCCCCTCCCCCACAGCCAGAGAATATCATGCTGCTGGAGAAAGATGTCCCCAACCCGAAAATCAAGATTATCGATTTTGGTCTGGCCCAAAAGCTGGAAGATGGAGTAACCTTCAAAAGCCTTTGCGGGACTCCGCAGTACATAGGTAAACAGCTGCGCACTAATGATCTGCTGGGAAGGTTGCCAGGAGCATGTGGGACTCATTGGCATAGTAGGCTATTGGGATTAACCTGTGGAACTCTCTGCCACAGGATATTGTTGAGTCACATGGTTAGGGCCCTGCCAAATTCACAGTCCATTTTGGTCAATTTCATGGTCATAGGAATTAAAAAATCCTAAATTTAAAGATTTCCACTATTTAAATCTAGTGAAATTTCACGGTGTTGTAATTGTAGGGGGTCCTGACCCAAAAAGGAGTTGGGGGGGAGGTCGCAAAGTTATTGCAGGGGAGCTTGCCGCCCTCCCCCCCGCAACTCCCTTTTGGGTCAGGACCCCCAATTTCAGAAACGCTGGTCTCCCCCGTGAAATCTGTATAGTATAGCGTCAAAGCACACGCAAGACCAGATTTCATGGTGGGAGACCAGCTTTCACGGTCCATGACGCGTTTTTCATGGCCGTGAATTTGGCAGGGCCCTATACATGGGCAGGAACTTGAATAATCTCGTGGGTTTCCGCAGCGCCTTTCATCCCAAAGCACTTGGGAATACTCGACAGCAAGGAATGTCACCCACATCTAAAATGGAGCCACCTCTGGGGCAGAACACAGTAGCTACTTTAGGACGGGAAGTGAAGGAGGCTCTTGTTTCCTGCTAACCTGCAGTGGGGGTGGAGTGTAAGGAGGCAGAAGGCAGTAACCTTTTGGGGGCAGGGGCGATGTAGCTCTGAACAGCCCTTCCCTTCCTAAAGAACCAGGGGATCTTAATGACCGCCCATGGCTAGGACTCTGGGTTCCTGCCTGTCTGAGAGAGCAGCCCAGCGTCCCCTAGCACCACTCAGGGGCAGTGGGAATGGCTGGATTTTAGAGATGGAAACCCAGCAAGGTTTAGCGGCGTGAGGGGTGTCCAGGCTGACCCTGAGGTTGTCCATAGAAGAGGTCCATTCTGCTTTGACTTGCTGTACATCTTGTGTCCCATAGGGGGCGAAGGGAGTCAGGCAGTGGATGCAAAGTGACTATTCTGTATTTCTATTGTTTTTTTTCTCCTCCAAGCTCCCGAAGTGATTAACTACGAGCCCCTGAGCTCGGCGACAGACATGTGGTAAGGACGGGGAGCCTGGATGGTGCCCCTCATTAATGTCGTAGCTAGAGGTATAACGTGAGCTGTCGTTGCCTCAGCCAAGTTCTCGGCATTACCCAGGCAGTATTCCAGGGTCCGCTGGCTTTGTTTTAAACACGCCAAGTGCCGCTGGGAGACGATTTCCCCGGCCTCTCGCAGCCAACTGAAGAGCCCCAAAAATGATCCGACAGCGACTGTCTGAAGGAGCTCAGTCCGCTCGGCTTCTCAGAATGACGATTGAGAGGGGACGGGTGTTTGAAGTACCATCGGGGGGAGAAAACACCAGCGCCTCTTTTCTTTCTGACTTTCCTCCCATTTGTTGTCCTGCTTAAAAAAAGAGGTTCCGTTGTCCCGTCCAGAAGCACGCGGGCCGTGTGATCGGGGGGTCAGTCGCACGCCAGGAATGGTGGAAGCGAGCAATGGGCTAACACGTCATAGAGTGGAAATCTGCTCTGTAAAAGGGAGGGAGTGACGCTGGATCAGCAGGATTTGGGATAAGGGTCGGGAGCAAAAAAGGGTGAAATTTACCCCGCTCTGCTGTTTGTTTACCAGGATCCCCTCCTTGATTTCTCCCAAGGTAGCCTGTGCGTACTGATTGTCCCCAGCCCTTAGGCTGGCTAACCGAGAACATGTCTTTGTTTATTTCAGGAGCATCGGCGTTATTACCTATATCTTGTAAGTACCCGACGTCTTGGGTGTCTCTTCTTGTCTGACTCTCCCATCTTTAGCCCTTGCTTGGGGTTTTTATCCAGAGACCACCCCCAAGTGCATCACTGGAGGTCAATATCATTATACAGAGTGGGGAAACTGAGGCAAGGCAGGGTCACAGCTTCCCCAGGGGTGGGTTGGGGGCCCTTTGGACTCAGCCGGCTCTCAACCGATCCTTGTCTCATGCAGGCTGAGCGGGATGTCCCCGTTCCAGGGCGAGACGGATGCCGAGACCCTCTCCAACGTCGTCGCTGGCAACTACGAGTTCGAGGAAAAATTCTTCAGCGAGACCACCGATATGGCCAAGGACTTCATCCGGCAGCTGCTGGTGAAGGAGCCCGGGTAACGCCTGGGCAGCAAGACCCTGAGGCTGGCACCTGCCAGCCGTGGGCAGGGGGTTACCCTGGCAGAGCAGCTCAGAAAGCAGGAACCCCTTAAGCTGCGCAGGGGTGACATTCACCTCTGGGTACAGCCGGCATAAAGCACCTGGCTGAGGGCTCAGGTGGGACGCGAGGGGGGCCTTGTTCTGTCACCCAGAACTGGGTGATTTCCACCTCTAAGAATCTAGGCCAGGTGTGATCCCAGCTGCGGGGGGTGGTTCGTTCAAGCCAACGTACCCCCAAAACCCCCAGCTGGAAAGGCTGGCACGGAGGGTGCAGGCTGGCCTGTGATTGGGTCCGTCCTGCATGGCGCAGGCCAGCCGGACCGCAGCCGGACCACAGCCTGTAACCTGCTGCTGGCTTAGTGCTGGAGAGGGCAGGAGGAACAGCTGGTCTGATAACCTGGGTGCCCTGGTGTCACCGGAGAGGGGCTGGCACGCAGAGGGGGCGTGAGGACAAATTGAGGGGGGACGATTGAATCCTTTGCACTACGTGGGACATGGATGGGCTGGGGAGATGGTTCTGGGGGGCGCGGGAGAGATTCCTGCCACGGGAGGTTCTCAGCAGGGCAGGGAGCGCTCGGCGGGTAAGCACCGTGAGGGGAAAGGGCCCGGGGTTTCGTGGAGAGAAGGAGCGGGAAAGGGTTTTCTTTTCTGGTGGGAAAGCAGCAAACAGTTCCCGTTCTCCCCGCTGCAGGAGTCGCATGAGCGCGGCCGAGAGCCTCGTCCACCCGTGGATCAAGGTGAGGGGGCCGCTCGCGTTTCCAGGTGGACGCGGGGGTGCGTGGGGAGGCGGGGACCGCCAGGCTAGCAAGCAGGGGGACGCCCACGGCGGTGTCCGGTGGGTCCTGCTGCGGCCCCTGGGGGTCAGGGCAGCCACTCCTGGCAGTTTTGCTCTTCCCTGAGAGCCCAGGCTGGGGGGAGGGCACAGAGCCTGGTGCGAAGCCAAAGATGGGGCGGCGGGGCAGGCCTTAGAGGCAACAGGTAGGTGCCTGTCAGGTGGAGAATTGGTCCGGGGCCATCAAATGCGGGATGAGCCCGGAGTGGCAGGGAAGCCTTCGGACGGGGCCGTTTTCTGCACCATCAGGAGTCAGATCCCCGCGGGAAACGGGCTCCTATAGATGAATAATGACCTTCCAGGGCAGCCGGTGAAGAGAGGACCCCCCTCTCTCCTCCCAGGCCCCTGCAGCTGCCAACAGACCCCAGGAGTCTGGGGAACCCTGGGCCCGGTTCCCTAGGGCGGAATTGAGCTGAGCGGGGGAGCCCGAGGCCCGCTGAGTGTTTGTGGGTGCAGGGGATTTGCCCTCTAAGGGTACTGGGGTCCCCCTGCTGCCTGTGAGCACGAGTTGGGGCTGGGGGTGGCATGCTGGGGGTGACGGCTCATGCGTTTGCCCCCTGGCAGCCCCTGAGCCGGAAGCAGGCCACCAACCGTAGCCGCTCCTCCATCAACATGAAGAACTTCCGCAAGTTCAACGCCCGCAGAAAATGGAAGGTAACTCTGCCCCGGCCCCCACATTCCCGGGGGGCTGCAGGGGGCGCTCTCCCTTCCCAGGCAGGGCTGGCCCCAGTGCGGCGCTAGGGGGCGGGTGCCTCATAGGGGGCACTCTCCCCTCACAGTCAGTCACCAACCCGCTGACCCCAATGCCCCAGGGCAGCCCTTGGGGGCCCTTGCAGGTGTGACCCTAGGGGAAGACCATTCGTTGTTCCATGGCACTCTTTGAAACAACAGAGGCATCAAGCCCCAAGCTCTGGCTACATTTCCCCGACCTAAAATCCCCCAGCTTGTTTCAGCTGGGTGCAGGATCCCTCTTTGCTTCCCGTCCTAAACTTTTCAACGGCGGCTGCGTTCCACCCCAGAGGTGGCCGCATTTTAGCGGCAGGAAAGAAATCCTTCAATGTGAAAGAGGCCGCATAACAGCGGGCTCGTTCACAGGGGACGTTGCTCCTTGGTGTGTGTGTGTGTGTGTGTGTGTGGGGGGGACCCTCTTAATACGTGGGCGTGGAGGCTCAAAGGGTCCTTAGCTTTAAGCTGCCCTGTTGCGTGTGTGTTTTTCTCCCCTCAGCTTTCCTACAACATGGTGTCTGCCTGCAACCGGCTCTGCCGCCTGAAGCTCTTGTGTGGCCAGAGGAAGGAGGATGAGACTCTGGTGAGGCCTTGTTGATTAGCTGGGGCGCTCGCTCCCTGGGGGGAGAGCGCCGGGGACCTTCCGCTCCGGACTCACCGCGTAGGGGTCGGGGGAGTGATGGATGAATGGGCAGGGGCAGGGCTTTGGGGTGAGCGTCAGGGGTCACATGTTGGCGGGTTCGGGGTGGGGTTAGATGCTGGGGTGAGCGCCCAGGGTAGCATTGATTATCCAGGTACCAAACGGACCCCACCTTCCCGGAGCTCCAGGCACCCCTGGGGGTTTAGAGCCAGGGCTGCCGCTGGCCGGCCGGCTCGCTAGTTAATGAAACGCTTCGTGCCGGCCCTTCTGTTGCTTCTGGGTGCCCAGGGCTGGCATAGACCTTGCCAGCCGTGCGCAGGATCTGCCTTGAGGGCAGCCAGGGCAGGGCGTGTGTGTGTGTGTGTGTGTGTGTGTGTGTGTACGTGTGCATGGGGGGGACCTGGGTGTGCAGGGGGGGTGTGTCTGTGTGCACGGGAGCCTGGGTGTGCACCTGTACGCAGGTGTGTACCCGTATATCATGTGCCCTCCATCCTACCCCCTCCCTGACCCTCTCTGGTGCCTCTCCCTTTTCCAGCGTGGCTGCGAGAGCGACCAGGAGGACGAGACCACCCACCCGGTGACGCTGCTGCGCCGGCGGAGAAGCAGCTGCTCTTGAGACCCCAGCCCTCAACCACAGACTCCCAGCATGCTCCCACTGCCCCACACCCACCCTCTGCATCAGCTGGGGGGTGGGGGGCAGCTGCAGCCCCCAGAGGTGGGGAAGGGCCCTGGGAGATCAGACGCCCCGGGCCCCACCCCGGCAGCTGGGCTCTGTCTGCCGAGGCCCGGACGGCGGGAAGGGGCATTGACTTTGGTCGGCGGGGACCAGCTGGGAGCGGGAGGGGGCTGGAAATGGGATTCCCTCCCCCCATGCCCCTCTCTGTCTGGACGCCTGAGGACAGGGAGTTGGCTGCGGATGGAGCTGCTGAAAGGGGAACACGTGTCAGCGGGAGAGGCTGGGGCAATGCCCGCAGCCCCTTGGCACCCAGTCACCGTGTCTGTGGGGCGAGGTATTGGGGGTGTGGGAGAAGAGATCCCGCTATTAACCCTTTCATTATTCAAACAGAGCCCCACCACCACCACCACGAGGGCCTTTCAGGGTGCATTTTCTGTACCCCTCTTATGCTTTCCAATAGGAAACCCCCCTGTGTGGCTGTTCTGTCTGGCACTTGTGGGGTTAATTGGAACCTCCCCCCCCTTCAGACATTGTGTTCCGGAACTCGTGGGGTTAATCCAACTGGGCCTGCCCTGCACTTGCCCCAATGCGTTAGGGGCTCTGTTTATTCCAGCACTCATGGGGTTAATATGAGTCTCTTCCCTCCCCACTCCACTGTGCCTGCTGTCCCCCAGCAGTACCCTGGCGCGGGGATGGATGGCGGCTCCGCATGTGCTAACGGCTGCAAGGCGGTGCCAGGTACCTTTACCCAGCTGTTGAGGGGCAGCTAGAGAGCCGGGTGGGTGCCCCTTCCCCAGCACCCCACAAACCCTTGCATGCTGACCTAAGGCGCATGGCAGGCCAGACCCCCCTCCCTCCCCCCCAGCTGCCCAGGGAAGATCTGCCCAGCTCAATTCCCCCCTCTGCCTGATTATTTTTAAAGAAATAAACGTGCCACGCGTCTCCCCTGTCTCCTGCCTGGGCCGGGTGCCTTTGCAATGAGGGTCTAACCCCCCAGGTGAAGCCGGCTCAGGAACTTGCCCACCCTCCACAGCCCTGACCTGAATCAGCCAAGCAGAGCCGGCTCTGGCCCCTGGGTGGCGCTAAAGCCCAGCTCATGGGGCTTGGCATCTCCCCAGCTGGATGGTTGGTAACTGGGTGCTGGCGCTGGGCTTGGTGGTGTTCAGGACTGAGCCCCACGGCTCTCCCTGCCCTAGGGCGCTGGCCGGCTAATGGCCTGTCTGTCCCGGGAAGGGTAGGAAGGAGTAGCGGTCAGAACAGCTGGGCAGGGCGTGCCCCTTAAAGGGACGTGTCCTGGAACAGGTGCCGACTGAAGGCAGGGGCGGTCGATGCTTTTTTGGTCAAGGTCCAAATTTCTTGGTTAAGGTCCAGACGCCGGAGACGCATTTTTTTCAACCACAGTGACAATAGGGAGGGTAAGAGGCAGTCCGGATTGGGCGCCTACGGCCTCCCCCTGCCTTTCGGGGACAGGGGTGGAGAGGAAACCGAAAAGTTGGCACGCGCTGGGGAGCAGCGCGCTGGGGCGAGCGAGCGCTCTGCCCTCTGGGGCTGCCCTCACGGGCGCGTGTGCGCAACGAGAAGGGGGACGCGGATGCAGACATGCAACTGCTGGCGAAGGTAACGGCCACCATTGCCAATCCCTATTCAGAGCGGGCGCTCAGGTTTCTGACTGACGCCCAGCGCACTGGGCACTGCTACTACAAAGCAAAATAATCTCCGAGCGGCGTTGTACTCTGCACAGGGCCCCGCGGGGGCTTGGGAATTTAGAGCGTGTGAGTGCAGCACTTTGCTCATGCAGAGGGGTTTTAAATCCCCCCCTTTTTTTTCATCACCTGCGGCAAATCCGCCGTCTTCCGTCTGCAGGACCGGAGCTCACGGGGGTGTGGATCTGCCTGCTCTCGCCTGGGAGACAGGTGACAGGTGGGGGAGCCCGTTCCGTGAAACCACTGACTCAGAAAAGCAGTCGAGTTTGCCATAAACCCCAGGTTACTATTGTCAAGGAGAAAAGCAGGCCTGGGAGCTGGGGCTTGCTCCCTGGCAAAGCAGCCGATCGGAGCAGTGGTGGTTTGTTTCGTTAAGCTGAAAGCCAGAGTCCCTAGTGGCGCAGATCTAATGCGCCCCTTCGGCCTCGAAAATTGGCAGCCGGGTAGTTACTGCCCGTGCCATTCAAAGTTCCTTTAACCAAAGAGCGGTGAAAGCTGTGGCTGCGGTAGAACGCTCCCCTGCTTGATCCATCCTGGAGGTGAGGCGGCGGGAGTGCGAGTTACGCCGCTGGGGCTAGATCCCACAAACTGGGGCGACCCACCGGGTACAAAGCAGAAGCCACCCATCAGGCCAGCTTTTCTCCTGCTCCACTGCCCTTCCAGAACCCCGGCCCCGGCCTGACATCTCACGGTACCCCCACGCTGCACCCCAGAAGGGGACGGGGGTAAGTGCTGCGTTGCAAAGGGCCCGTCCCCTCCCCTCCTCTGCTGCTGCGGAAGGGGACAAGGAGGAGGAAGCAACCATTGCTCCTGATCCGGCTTCTGCTCTTCCCAGAGGTGAGGGGAGAGGGGCCAGTCTAGCTGGCTGGGGCAGGAGACGATCTGGCCATTTCCGGCCCTGCTCGAGTACACCAGGAGTGGGTCAAAAGACCCCTGCTCCAGTTGCACGAAGCTGTTTGCTGGTTGTGTGGGCTATTTGGCCAAGGCGCTGCGCAGGCCCCTTCGCCCGGGGCTGGGGGGGAGGGAGGAGAGCAGGGATTCTCTGCAAGAAGTTTGAAACGAGAGGCAGAAAAAAAAACCATCCCGTTGGGCTTGAAAGTTTTCCCTGAAATTTTGTGATCTGTTTTTTTTTTTTTTTTGGAAAAAAACACCCAGGGGCCTCTCTGCAATCGCGCCCATCCCTGTGGTGTCTGGGCACTGATCCATAATGAAGGGTCACACCACGTTCCCCCAGCAGCAGCACCCCAATCCTCCAACCTCGTGACAGCTGGGGAAACTGAGGCCCGGAGACTTGCCGGGGGGGGGGTCGTACAGTTGATGGGTGGAGGAGCTGGGGCTGTTGGCTGCAACCCCCGCCTCCCAGTTAGCTGGCGCATTTGGGGGAATCTCTCTTGCCTGGTCAATCTCTGGCTCCTTATTTTCCAAACAAGCCCCCCCCCCCGGCCTTGGCCCAACCCCATCTCGGTTCAGTTTTCAGGCTAAATATTTTGAATGTAGCAATTGAAAACAAAAGTGAACCCGAGCCCCCACCATGTCACCACGCTGCCTGCAACCCAGCCAGGGCAGCGGTGGAAGGAGGCGGGGCCCCTAGGCGAAGGTGGGAGCGCTTTGGCCCTACCCCTTGGCTGGTGTTTCACCTGGCTGCACTTGGGGAGGGTGGGAGGCAGCTCCGCCCCGTTGTCTGTGCCCAGGTGCGCTGCTTGGTGCAGGCTCAGAGCTCGGCTGCTCGCCCAGCCCTATGCACGCAGCACGGGAATCGGGGGGTGCAGAAGCCGGGGGCTTTCTCCTTGGAGCCCGGAGCGAGGTGGCTCGAGGCCAGTTGCGGTGGAGGCCAAGGAGCGGCGCTGTCCCTGCCAGTCCCCTGGGAATGAAGTGGGAGGCGCTGGGGTCCCTCTGTTCCCAAGCTCTGCAGCCAGGGTGGCGCCTGCTTTCTGCCCCATAAGAGGAGCTGGCGTGGGTGCATTCTGCCTCGCTTCGGAGAACGGCCAGGGGATTTTCTGTTCGTGGACCATGGGGGCGGAGAAGGAGACAGTGGCACCGTCGTCCCTCTGCCTCCTGCCGCTCGGGATAGCTTTGCTGGTGCTCGGCCTCGTCCCACCTGTGCCTGCGCTGGCCACCCCCGGAAGTAAGTTTCCCCAACCTGGCTAGCGGGCCTCGAAAGTCTGCTCCTGGGTCGCCGAGAGAGACTCGACTCGACTGGCTGGGGGTGCGCGGCCTCAGCAGAATCTCTCCCGGTGGAGGCTGAGCGGGATGGGATGGGTGGGTGACCCAGAGGCGAGGGTTAAGGCAGTGGGGGGCGAGTGGATGGAGCACAAGGCTGGCGGGCAAGAGATCCCGGCTCCTGTTCCCGGATCTGCACCCAGCCTGCTCCATGACCTTGGGCAAGTCCCGTAAGAGCAGCTGTGCCGGGTCAGCCCAATGGTCCATCTAGCGACTAGCCTGTCTCAGGTGCTTCTGCGGGAATGAACAGAGCAGGGCAATTAGCCAGTGATCCATCCCCTGTCAGCTGGTCCCAGCTTCTGGCAGTCTGAGGTTTAGGGACACCCAGAGCACGGGGCTGCATCCCTCACCATCTTGGCTAATGGCCATTGATGGACCTAACCTCCAGGAACTTATCTAGCTCTTTTTTGAACCCAGTTATGCTCCGGGCATTCACAACATCCCCCGGCATTGAGTTCCACAGGTTGTGTGTGTTGGGTGAAGAAGTATTTCCTCCTGTTTGTTTTAAACTCGCTGCCTAGTAATTTCACTGGGTGACCCCTAGTTTGTGTGTTAGGGGAAGGGGTGCCTCTGTGCCTGTTTTCCGTCTCACATGTGTCTTTTGAGGTTGTCAGCTTTCCTGGAGGAGGGATGGCCTCTTGCTATGTGTACGTGCCGCACCCAGCACATCAGGTGCTCTAATTCTAGGTCTGACTGTAATACAAATAGCAAAATAATAATGGGACTTGGGAGAGCGGGGGCCAGGTCCCAGCTCCGCCGCTGACTCTCTGTGTGACCTTGGTTAAGTCACTTGGTTGCTCCGTGCCTCAGTTTCCCCATCTCTAAAGTGGGGACAACCATCCTCCATTTGCTGGTCTCTACTTGGATTGTGAGCTCTCAGGGGCAGGGACCGTCTCTGACTATTGTGTCCGTGCAGCCCCTACTATAATGGGGCCTCCAGGTCGGCATGGTAATTTGGATCTGGGACCTCAGGATTGAAAGACGGGTGACTGCCTCCTGCCTGAGCTAAAAGAACCTGGGCTGCAGCCGGCTCTCTGTGGCCCAGCCATCCCTAGGAGGGAACAAAATGGCCCATTGTAACTCACACCCAGTCGTTCTCCCATAACCGCAGGGCTCTCTGCACCTTCCTTTGAAGCAGCTTGCGCTGGGCACAGTAGGAGATGGGATACTGGGGTAGATGGCCCCCCAGTTCTGAAACAGTCTAGTAATTTCCAGGGTCCTTTGTTGCTAAACACACTGGACTTTCACCATCAATGAGCTGATTCCCTCATTTTTCAGTGTAAGGATGAAACAAAGTGCCCGTGAGAAACTGGCCGTTTGACTTCAAAACACAGAGATGACCCCCACCCCCCGCCAGGTTCTGAAGCAAAAAGGAACAAGCAGGACCTTTTGGGGCAGGGTGGGGGGTGGTAGCTGCTTATTTGGGTTCTTAAGGGGCTTTTGACTGGTGATGAGAAGTTGATCCGGTGGAGTGAGGAACACAGGCAATAAATAATTCAGGTTTGCAGGGAGTCATGGAAAGAGACGTGAAAGTGGAAAATTGTAGCTAAGAGGGGGCTGGAGGAATTGAAACAAAGACATCAGCGGGGCTGGGATCAAAGGCAAGAGTTTAACCCCTGCTCGTCACGCTGCGCCCGATGCAATGAAATGGCTCGTGAAGTGAGGCTGATCGGAGAAAATCCAAAACTGTCCCATGGAGATGTGGGGAGCAAGGGGGTAGGGGAATAGCGATTTCTGGGCTTTGGGCCTGGAAAGAGAAGCAATGCAATCCGGTAAAGACCCCTGAGCTCTGCTAGAGTGTGGCCTGCGGGCTGAGATCAGGGGCGTGGGAATCTAGACACCTGGCTCCTTTGCTGGGCCCTCCCCTGGCAAGTCCCATCCCGGCCCAGTGCCTCAGTTTCCCCATCTGTGTAATGGGGAATAATGGGGAAATGATACTGACCCAACTCGCAGTGGGGGGAGGTTGAACT